TTATAGAAAAGCACAATATTAATAAAAAAAGATGAACATAATAAAAACATGTTGAAAAGCACTCACACAAAATTAAATACCAGTGTAAAGTGTGTGACATGTATAGTGAAAAGACTTATACTAATTCATTTGACAAATTCAGATATATCAAAGTAAATATTGAGCAATAATGAGACCTAAAATATCTCAACCTTAGAGACTAAGGACCAAGATGTTGCCCTATCCCCTTAACCAAAAAGATTTAAGAGGAAGTATAATATTATTTTGTGGGTGATTCACATCATCTTTAAATATAAAGTATACCCCTTTGAGATATCATAAACACAAATCCATATGTGTGGGTCTTCGACCATCTTTTAACGAAGACACTCAATTTTTCCATGAATTTCATAAGGGTGTGATTGATCATCTTTTAGCAAATACACTCTTATTATTCTTTATTGGTATTTTAAAATAAATGCATTTTAGCGCATATAAAGATAAAGGATTGTGCATTATCCAAGTAAAAAATGAGCCCAAAAACACTTGATATAACCCAAAAATATCTATAAACCTAATATAAGACTCTCTACTACTATTTCACATCACAAAACATGATAAGCATAGAAATAGGTTTGTGAAATTACTGTATGAAATATCTCATATAAACAACGTGTGATGTCATAATGTTTTTGATCATTGTGTGAAAAAAACATACTTATAGACTAAAAAACCATATTTGAACATGTGTCATATACTAAAGCCTATATATCAAAAGAATAAAATCATCTAAACCAAATACGTAAAAGCATATGCATATGCATATCCATTTTTGTAAAAGAAAATAAAAAAGAAATTTTTTTTATTAAAAATGAAAAAAACTTAAAAACCCCTAAAAATAAAAGGAGAAAGAAATAAAAGAATCCAAAAATATGTACATACAACATGAAAGTGAGCATGCAAATATAAGGAACTTACTAAATTATTTATCCATCAACCAGAGTGCAAATGATAAGTTAGTACAAACCAAGTATCTAAAGCAGCTGATAAAAACTAGAAATAAAGCAGTGGCTTCTTGCGGTGGTGTTGAAAATTTGAAAAACCTCATCAATTCTTATTACAGGAATGGTAAAGTGAAGTTATCAGCACTATATAATGCTCTATCCTCTTCAACAGAGTGTGTAGCATGGTATAATACAATTTGGGAGAATATTAACATTCCTAAACATTCTTTTATAAGCTGGCTAGCAATCCATGACAGACTCCTCACACAAGACAGGTTGTTGAAGTTGGGGATTACAAATTCAAATTTGTGTTGTCTTTGTTCTAATTCAAGTTGTGAGAACAGAAATCTCCTGTTCTTTGAATGCAGTTTCTCGTGTGAAGTCTAGAATAATATCATGAATTGGTTGGGATTCAAATGGAGAGCTTGCAACTGGCTTCATCTCCTGAATTGGTACACTGACAGGTTGAGGGGTAAAGGTTGCAAAAAAAATTAAAAAGAATGGCGCTTACTACTACTATCTACTACATATGGTGGGAGTGCAACATGAGGATTTTTCAGCAAAAGAGCAGAAGTGTAGATCAGTTGGCCAGGGAGATCAAATAACATCCAAATCACCATCCTCAATAACCCTTCTTTTTCTAACTGTGATTGTTTGCCATCTTGAGGCTTAGTTCTCTGTTTACAACTTTTTTTTGGTTTCTAAGCTTTTGTTATATCATTTATTTTTGTATGCGCTTTTGTTTTGTGCTTATTGTTGTTGTCTATATATCTTAAATATGCGTGGTATTATAAATTTTAAGTTTGTTGTTGTCAAAAGGGGGAGATTGTTAGAGCATAGTCCATACAATATTTCTTGTTCGAATAAAAACAAATTCTCATTTGGTACTGATATTTGTTTGAGATGATATAGTATATATAAATACATGTATAAGAAGTGTATGAAGCGAAACAATGTGAAAATCAGCTTCAAAAATGATTTTAGCCTCCTAACCATCGAAAGTAGGCATCCCCTAGTAGTGAGAGCTTATTGATTGTCAACGACACTCATTAATGATTTTTATTCCAGACACATTCATATCATCGACGAGCCTCTCATCCATCAATGAGGCCTCAACATCGTCGATGGTCGAGAGTCACTATTAATGATAAACACGTTGATTGTAGAATTTCCAGATTTAATCTCACCCATTCGTTATTTCTTTTATTTTCAATCACTATGAAGTTTAGGTTATCTCTTTCCTGACCTATTGAGGACTGAATATCACACACACACACACAAACACACACACACACACACACACACACACACACAGAGAGAGAGAGAGAGAGAGAGAGAGAGAGAGAGAGAGAGAGAGAGAGAAGAGAGAGAGAGAGAGAGAGAGAGAGAGAGAGAGAGACCTAGGGTTTTGATTTGTGAGAGATTTCATTGAAGAATCTGACTCTTAGAGCCTTGACAACTCTCACATGTCACACACAACATCTTCAGATTGTTACAGTAAGGACAGTTGCCATTGTATTGATTCTCTACAGAGTTCTTCATCGAGCTTTGCTTACATTCATCGAAGGATGGTTTATTTAAGAAAAGGGTTGTAAGATCTTTATGATATTCTTTGCTTTAATTGTTTGTGTTTGTTTATATTGAACTTATTTTTATGGCATACTCAAGCTGACATTAATTGAGGATTGGGACTAGGTAGAACTAGGTGTTACTCATTATGGAGAGTGAGGTTAGACAACTGGTTTTGAGTAGATTTCAGGGTGTGGTCTTGTAAACCTACTAATTAATGTTTGTGATTCAGGAGAACTCTTTGCATAGTGAGGAAGCCCCATTGCAAGAAGGAAGAGTGGTCATCGAATTTTATCCGAACTACTATAAAATCTTGTGTGTTCCTAATTGGTTGCTATTTATGTTTGATTATCGTTTATTGTTTTTATTTTATCTTTTTCTGCTGCATATTCTGTGTTTTTAATGAAAAATGATAGTAACCCTGTTCACAACTCCTCTAAACTTGTACCTCGGATCCAACGGGATATACTATGTCAAATGTTCATCTAATTAATTAATAAAGTTCTTGGGCACAGCTCGTTGTGATTAGTGGTTGCTAAAAATGAAATAGCATTATTTAGTTTTTAGTCTATTAAAACTATAGTGAATCCATCTTAGTCCCTCAATTATTGATACTGCTCATTAGTCCCTCAAAATTTAAGTGTCTTGCAATTTTGTCCTTCAATTTTCAAAATGTTCTTCCCTCTTTCTTCTCCATATACGAATCTCTTAAATATTTGAATCCAATTCCGGCTAGAAAAAACATTAGTTGAGAGGTTATTTATAGAGGGACAAAATTGTAAGACTCCATAAAATTTGAGTGACTAATATGAAACTTTGAAGATTTTGACGGACTACAACCTAAATAACCCATAAATGAAATAGGCTGTCACAACTTGTAAATCTAATAAACATTTAGGGGGTGTTTGTTTCAAATCCTATAATTTTAGGATATGGATTTCACCATGGAATTTAAAATCTATAGGTAATTTATTATGAGTTGGGATTCCTAAAACTTTATTTGTTTCAACAATATTTTAGGATTTGGAATACTATAGTTTGTAATATTTTTGTTTGTTTCAAACTTTTTGGAATTTGAAATCCTTAATTTATCAAACACTTTTAAAATCTACCTCACATCCCATCCAAAAAAGAGGATTTCACAAATCCTTAAATATAATACATTTTTATTATTTGGGGATTTGATATTCTAAAATTTATTTTGAAACAAACAAGTTTTATGGAATTCTAAAAGATATTCTAAAATTTATTTTGAAACAAACAAGTTTTATGGAATTCTAAAACCCAAAAAAACCCACTTTTTGATCCTAGAATTTATATTTTGAAACAAACAAGTTTTATGGAATTCTAAAACCCAAAAAAACCCACTTTTTGATCCTAGAATTTAAAATCCCACCCAAATGCCAAAACTTTTTTGAAACAAACACCCCCTTATAGGGGGCTCCTGCAAATTACCAACTTCGCAAAGCGAACGGAAGCGGAACAAATCGGATGGCGCAAAAAAAAATAAAAGTCCAAATTCCAACCAATAAGCTGACGCCACGTGGTCATTAACTGACACCTTTCAGTAACTCCCAGGACACCTGCCAGTTTCGTATGACACGCGTCGACATATTACTGGTTACCGCTCACTGATCAGTTTCAGTGACGTCAGGATCCATGTCCCTTGCTTGTAATTTAAGCGTCTAATTAAATAATCTAATCATGGTTTAATTTAACTAATACAACACCGAAGCTCAATTGGAGAGCCTATATAAACCCGCTCCCCCATTCTTTTCCGTTCAAGAGAGCTCCACCGAGCGAAAGATTTTTCCACTTCACGGTGAGCGCCCCCGAGTGTTCTGAATTTTCTCTTCTCAGTCCTCTCTTCTTGCAGAAACCTCCTCCTAATTCTCCAACTTGCTGCTCTTTGAGTCTTTTTCTGCAAATTTCTGTCCTTCTTATGCGAAAAACAAAGTTTTGAATTTTGATTTCAGGGCTTTCGAAGAGATAGAAGTTTCAGAACAAAGATCCAGATATTTTTTTTTTTCCTTCTGGGTATTTGGTATTACCAGCCAAGACGGTTCCTTTTTCTGCAACCATCTGGCTTTTTAATTTGATCTTATTTTTATTTGTTTTTTAAGATCTAAAGAGGCTGCTTTTTTCAGTGAACCTCTTGAGTTTTATAGCTTATTTTTTATTTTATTTTTTTAAATTTCAGATACCCATCTTCTTGCTCTTCGGGCTTTTCTTCTTATTTTTCTTTGATTAATGGCTACAGCTATAGATATGTATAATACTAGCAATAGCTATAGTTCATCTCTGTTTGCTTCTGATCCTTTTGATGAGGAGCTCATGAGAGCACTTGAACCTTTTGTAAAGAGCGCTTCTCCTTCAACCTCCTCCTTTTCTTCTCCTTCTCATTCTCATTCTTGCCCTTCTCCTCCTCCTCCTTCAGCCTTAACCTTCGAGTCAAAATCCCATCTTTGATCGCTCTTCACGGTCAAAATCCAATCTTTTTGGCGTGGATCAGCCTGATCTCAGCCAGGTTGGGCCAATTGGGCTGACCCAATTGAGCCCGCTTCAGATCCAGCAGATCCAAGCTCAGTTCCAGCTCAACCATCAACACCAGCTCATGATCTCAAGAGCCCTTCAAGCTAGAAGTTACAGCAGTGCCCTCGGTGTCAAGCCACAGCCCATGAAGCTCCAGGCCTCCTCTTTAGCCCCATCCAAGCCCACAAAGCTCTACAGGGGAGTGAGGCAGAGGCACTGGGGCAAATGGGTTGCCGAGATCAGGCTACCGAGGAACAGGACAAGGCTCTGGCTCGGCACCTTTGATACTGCCGAGGAGGCTGCCTTGGCTTATGACATGGCTGCTTACAAATTGAGGGGGGATTATGCGAGATTGAACTTTCCTAATTTGAAGCATTCAGCTGCTGCTGGAGCTCATTTGCATTCCTCCGTCGATGCTAAGCTCCGAGCAATCTGCCAGAACCTGGAGAAGAATCCCTCTGGGAAGAAAGAGGTCAAGGGGAAAAAGAAGCCCAAGGAGGCTGTGGTGGCCGAGAGGGACGACTCATCCTCCTCCTCGTCGTCTTCGACCATTACCGCAGTGGTGAATTCTCCGGTCTCGGAGATTGAAAGCTTGGATTTCAATGAGGTGCCTTGGGATGAGGCTGAGGACTTCGTGTTGAGGAAGTACCCTTCTTATGAGGTTGATTGGGATGCTATATTGTCTTGTTAAGTTTAGTACTTGGGTTTGTGCTCTAGTTGGCTGCTGCAAATGGAATTTTTGGCATTTGCGCAGCCTTTTATTAGACGAGTTTTTAGTGTAAGATCTCGTGGTCTTCTGCTGGTTATTTTTTTTCTTGGCAAGGCCAGTGAGGGAGTGTATTTTCAGTTTCAGTTGTAACTCTCTTGTTGTGGCTTTTGTAAGTATATCAGTATGTTTGTATTTTGTAGATTTGATATCAATTTTTGCTCTTATCGTACTTCTTCTTGTCTTCCCAATCTCAACGTGTGTATGTCAATTGTGAGATCAGAGCAACATTCTTCACTGTGATTTTCGGAAGGCACCACCTCCAGACAGAACTTCGGTTGGAGTTAGAAGTTCTCAACCCTGCCTTAGAAAAAGGTAAACTTACGCTTGAAACCATGACTTGGTTCAACTTCAGAATGATTGATAACTGGTAAATACAATTAAGGGATCTTACTTAACCTTTGTCTAACTCGAAGTGGTTGCTAATTCAAATTCGATTATCGGACTATGTCAGTTGTTGCTAATTGTTAGCGGTATCACATTAACTTAATAAGATCATGGATCAGAGGGGAAGGAAAGCACTAATATTGATATTGGTTCTCTTACAAATTGGTAATTAGTAAATACAATCAGGGTTTCTCTGCAATTCAATCCATTCATTAAAAATTATGGTTTTCTAATCCATATCTAAACTGCTTTATCGATAAGCTGGACGGTATCATCCATCCGTTACACTTTTTTCATATTTTACTACAAATTATCCAAAAAAAATTCATTTTTTTTCCACCACAGTCTATCTGCTAAGTTGCCACAGATATCAGTGTGTTTTCTAGGAGAAAGGCTTTTCATCTGCAACTGGAAAATTGTCTAGTTCAGGAAAATTTTCAAGTTGATTATATAAGATGAGACATCATGATCAATGAGGCATTGTTGCGTCCATCATATTTTTAGTAACTCAAATCCAAAGACTAATAGTTGTAGTCTCTATCTGCCAACTAGCCTTCGAGATTTTACGACAAGTCATTCTCATTAAATATGTGTAAGTGTGAGGTTAACAGCTAATCGCAAGAAAAATCTAGATGCGTTTGCTTGCTAGCACTAGCAATCGCAAGTTTGTGGTACATGATTTGGATTGGTGGGGTGGGGGATGAATTGAACAAGTCAATTAAATTAAGATGGTTACTCATGATGTTAGCTTTGCAGTCTAGTAATATTTGGAACTGTTCATTAATAGTTGCTTCAAATAATTTGAGGCATCTTGGAATCCCTCTAATGTTTATCCTTTGAGAAGGACCCAGTTGCAATTTATTTATAGCCCGTGATGTTTATCTCGGTCAATGACTCAATAAAGTAGGAAGATAGAGAGAGGGAGAGAATCCAATCATAACCACAGCTCATCTCATCTCTTTGTTATTATTCTTTCTGCCTACGGCTACCTTTGCAATCCTTGCTGTCAAAGTTTTCATAAACAAAGTTGGGGATTTCGTGGCAAACACTCTATTACTTTGAGGGGTTTTGTAAAATTGGCGGGTGATTTCACCAAGGGAAAATTGCTTCTAGCCCCCAAAATAACAATAAATATTATCCACCCAAGACTTTTTCAAAGTTCCCAAAAATCCCCAAAACCAATCCGGCATTTCCTTTTGCCCCCAAACCCCATTCCCCCGGTTAAAAAAAAAATCCCAAAAATGCCCTTTGATTTAACCGCCTCCAACTTTCTTGAAACCTCTCCTCGGTGAGCGTGTCAATCTCTCTCATCAGTCTAAGTGAACTGACTATCTCCAATTCGAAACCCTAACCCTAAATCAACCTAACTCAGAGCAAAATCCAAGCATTTTCTTATCATCTTGCCATCCTACACCCCTGAGCATAATCATGGCAGAAAAGTCAGCTCCCAAAGTAGTCACCCATATAGAAGACTTCAAAGACGATGATGATTCATAGTATATCGTTGCAAGAAGACGTCTAAGCGCAGAGTTGACTAATGCTAGTACAACAATAGCAGATGTTCTAGGGAACATCGCAACTAGTCATCCTCCTCCCACAATTTCACTTTAACCGACAAACCCAGTTCAACGCACAATTTAGAGGGTAGCACTGACGACACCTCGAGAGAGTTACTGAATCTATAGAGAGGAACGAATAGGAGCAATTTAGAAGAGATGCATTTGACAACCAAAAAAAGGTGAGTTTACTGCATAATTTAGTTGTTTATGATGTTGCATGGTGTGTGTTTATTGTGAAGCCTACAATTAAGTTGTGAAGGCTAGCTTTTAGTGTTTGTGTCAAAAGTTGATTTCATTGCCAACGAACTCATTACAACCGTTTATCCATTACAAGTTCGGAAAAAGAGAAAAGTCGATCTTTTTATAAGATCTCCTTATATAATAAAAATAAAAGATTACAACTCTTGTCAAACTACACACAACAACAGTTTATCTCTTGTTATTTGCGTGAGAATTTTGCCTATGCCAGGGACGCGTTAGTTCGTGGAACGCCGCGGATCAGATTCAGTTAACAGAAAAAGTTAATCAAAGCTTCTACTTCACGAAGTAATCGCAGAAGTGGTAATCCCGACCAAACGAGATTACGACTCTTCTCGAGATCAAGACCAAGCTTGATCCGGAGGAAAGGGGGTAAGGGTCTCAGATCTCTCGAAATTCACTCTTTATGCACATGAGATCGCCGAGATCTAGCTAACCCTCTCTGAAATTCGTGCCTATGCCCTCACAAAACCAGCAACACCTCCCCTTCTTGATTATTTTTTCGCCCCTTGTGAAAGGAGGCCCTAGGCTTGTATTTATAGGGCTTCGGATGCGTGGTAATTGGATAAGAATGAGAGATTTGGTCATATCTTTAGTCAATAACCACCTACCCACATTTAGATATGATATCAAGTCAGTTGGGAGCATTAGGAACAGAAGAAACCGATCAAAATAGACTGAAAACACGTTTTGGGCGTTACTGACAGTTCTGGGCGCAGGACAGACCACGGTGAGCCGTGTGTGCGCGGGTCACCAAGTGGTGACTTGCTCGGCCGCGGCGCGGGTCACCACGAGGTGACCCGTGTGGCCGCGGGTCACCCTTGGGTGACCCACATGCCATGCGAGTTCCAAGATTTTCGGTGTTTTTGGACTTTTTCGGACTTGTACTTTCTGTCATTTTGTGTATTTGATCGTCTTGTTGACTTGTACACTTCGTTAACTTGCTTCATGCGCTCGTTAGCTTCTTTACGGCACTTGGAGTTGACCAACATGCGCGGCGGGTACTTGGATAATCCTTCTTGATTCGGATGATGACGTTCATCGTCTTCCTTTCATCTCGAGCTGCGTGCGGACACCTATAGGTATTTTTAGACGCCTACAGATACCCTCTTCAAAAGTATTTCAGACTCATTATTTTATAGAAGAGTCTGGAACGCTTTGGATAAGATAGACTTTGTTTTCAATCTCTTTAGTATTTGGTTGAGGAGATCGCGTAGAAGGACCTGTGAATGGATTTAATTCTTGACTTCTTCAGTCTTCAATCTACTCAGTATTCTGTCGAATAGATGAACTTCTTCCGGTACTGTGTTTATCGTCTGACTATTGTCGAAATCTTAAACTGAAGTTGATGCGTAAGTTTCTGAACTTAGCTCGTGTCGCTGAGTTGACGTTGAACTAATCGTCTTTGTCAGGAAGTCATATCTGGATTGCTATTGAACTCCCCGGAATCATCCTTTAATCCGGAATTTTTCCTTAGACTTATTTTAGCAAAATTGTCGACGCGTTAACCGGCGTTAACATAGTTTATACTCGTACGTTTACTGGAGTCTACACATTTTAAGCTCTTAAGGCATTGGAGCGTGACAGTCCCAAATGGTAGGGCTGTAGGACCAACTGTTAAAGTTGATTCATCTGCATGTATGGATTTTATCCTGAAGTTGTTGGATCCTCAAGTCACGAGACCAACTAATGGATCTGGTACGTCAATAACTTTCACATTTATAGGATTTTTGACAAACCCTCAACTATCAACGGGTTTGATGAGCCTTTACCGACTATCATTTGAGTCGGGCTAGCATGTAGATTGTTTAAGTCCGTTCTGCATGTAACATTATGCTAAAAGAGTTAACCCTTTTAGTACTATAATATTAAATACGTAGACTTCGTCTTTCTTACGGGAATAGACTACCCGACAACACGTGTTAGGTGCTGACTTATCCCTTCTTAGGATTCGGGATAAAAGTCCCCAGACTTGGATTCTAGTGTCTTTTTAACTTGGCGAAAGACTAAACCGGCAACGCGTGTTAGGCATAGGCTTATCTCTATTTTAGAGTCGAGATAAAGTTTCCCGCACGTGTAAGGCGCGGATTTTGGTGTTATTAATAACGGCCTGCCACAATATCAAATATGTGAGCTTTTATCCTTTTTACGGTCAAAGACTAACCAGCAATGCGTGTTAGGCGTTGACTTATCCCTACTTAGGCTTCGGGATAAAATTTTCCAGACTTGAATTCTAGTGTCCTTTTCACTCTGCGAAAGACTAAACCGGCAATGCGTGTTAGGCGTAGGCTTATCTCTATTTAGGAGTTGAGATAAAGTTCCCCACAAGTGTAAGGTGCAGATTTTGGCGTTATTAATAACGAACTGCCACAATATCGAATATGTGAGCTTTTATTCTTTTTACGGTCAAAGACTAATCAGCAATGCGTGTTAGGCGCTGACTTATCCCTACTTAGGCTTCAGGATAAAATTCCCCAGATTTGGATTCTGATGTCTTCTTCACTCGGTGAAAAACTAAACCGGCAACGCGTGTTAGGCGTTGACTTATCCCTACTTAGGCCTCAGGATAATGTTCCTCATGCGTGTAAGGTACGGATTATGATGTTATTAATAACAACCTATCACAATGTCAACTATGTGAGCTTTTGTCCTTTTTACGATCAAGAACTAACCGGCAACGCGTGTTAGGCGCTGACTTATCCCTACTTAGGCTTCGGGATAAAATTCCCCAGACTTGGATTCTGGTGTCTTCTTCACTCGGTGAAAGACTAAACCGATAACACGTGTTAGGCGGTGACTTATCCATACTTAGGCTTCGGGATAAAGTTCCCCGTGCGTGTAAGGCACATATTATGATGTTATTAATAACAACCTACTATAATATCGGATATGTGGGTTTTTGTCCTTTTTATGATCAAGGACTAACCGGCAACGCGTGTTAGGTGCTGGCTTATCCCTACTTAGAATT